ACCTTCGGGTTAATATCGAGAATGCGCAAAAGGCAACAGTAAATCTTCGGAACAGATTGAAGCATCTAAAGTGGCATTCAACGAGAAATCTTGTCCCGTGGATGAACTGACAGCTGATCTAACGTAGCGTGATTACCTGCACGCAACAGAATTGGCGGCGAAGGCGAAAGAGTTGCTGGATTGTGAAGCTGCAAGGTCTTTGGAGTTGGAGCAGAGGGAGAGGTTGGATGCAGATTGTAACAAGATGTGATCTCAACTGTCAGCAGTTGAGGAGCAGTTGATTTCTCCGGAGCCTAGATTGCTAGAAACGGAGGCAAAGAACCAAGAGTTAGCGGGTCATACGGATGCAGCATTGTGTGTGAAGGTAGACCGATGCCTTCGCGGTCATGTAAAGTGGGAAATTCAAACGCTTAAGTGGATGAAGTTGAAAGAGTCGCGTGACGGTTTTGATAGCTAGTAGTGTAGGGGGACAATAGCAGCTAGGTAGGAAGCTCGATTCATCTCCGATTTGGAAGAGACGAAGAAGAACTTAGAGTTGAAAGCGTCAGCCGCTCTGCGTAGGATATGAGAAGATAGGAACTCATCCGGCGTTATTACTGCCGGATCAACTGGCGTTGCGTCTGTAGGAGGCTCCCATTACAGCGAGTGACATCTCAGCGAGTTAGTTAGTAATAAAGAGGCACAAGGCTCTGCTTTCAGGGGCTTTTATATTAATTAGTTTCTCAGTTTTTGGCCTGCATTTCTCCGCGCGTTAGTGATTTTGTTTTTTGTCACCGTGCACAAGTTGTTTCAGTTTTTCGAAGATACCGCATCTGAAGTAGAGAGTCCAATTAGGATGTTTTGAGTGGTGCATAGTGTAGCTCAGGATTTAACCAAATCTGTACATTGGAAGCTCGGTGCAGCCGGCTAAATGTATATCTTGGCAATTTTCCTCCCTGAATATTAATTGCAGAGTCGCGTGCGGCTTTTGCAGGATCTTGTTGGATGAATTATAGGTTTGAGCGTGGTTCTACTTTGCAATGCGATGCCTTTGGACTTAGCACTTGCAATGTCCTTTGGGAGCGATAGGTATCTAAGAAGTAAATCTTCTCAATAGACTGTTAAATCATGACAATACTTGGTTCTCTGGGTTGTTTCTATCCTCATGGTATTGGATCTTTAGCATTAGGCTACATTTTGCTAATTATCTACTGTAATTATCTACTAGTAATTTATGAGCATTATAATGTAGTGCTAAAGGTGATCAAATGTCTACTTCGAGAAGTAAGTCAAAAGAAAGTTGAACACTTTTCATTTCAAGATGTGTTCGTCTATTTGTCCTTCAAGACGAGGAATTTGAAAAACTGAAAAAAACTGATCCATACTTTTTATAGCTGCAGATGATAAGTACTTGTATCCCTCAAAAAGCCTTGCTTGTTTAATCATTGAAATGTACAGTTTTTAAAAATTACTCAAATGTAATGGCAACTAAAATTTTCAATCATAAATGGATCATCAAATTTTTCATTCAAATATTATTGATTAGATTTTTTTAAAATAAATATACCCAATTCTAATTTGAAATGTAATTTTTTTATAAAACTAATTTCATTTACGCATATTTTAATATACCAAAGTAATCAATTCGTTTGAAAAAATAAATTACTAAAGCTTAAGTAACATGTCCAAATATGCAATTTCAACTATGTTCAATATCAATCATATATATAGATCATATTTTTTTAAATTTATGAGCATATGTTTTAAAACTAGTAATTTTTAGTTTTTGATAATTTAAAAAATAGAATTTACATCCATGTTATTTATATCTTGTATAATAAATCTAAATTATAGTCATAATTGATCATATTCGAGAAAAAAATATATCAAGCAATATATCAATATTTTATGAAATTTCATGAAAGATGCATAATTAAAAATTATATATTATGTTATCATAGTTTTCCATATCAAACAAAAAATTCTCAAAATTTTCACGTAAAAGATACTTAGAAGCCTAAAGTGTTTTTTTCATGACCAAAAGCTTAAAATACATGTATGATCATACATGTACAATTAAATCAATGAACCTTTGTATGTCAAACAAGTCATAAACACATATAACTAGCAAGATAAATATATGAAAGTGTTCATAACATCAAATGTACATATTGTATAAATTGATTTTAAAAACGTTACATAGAGGTAGGTATAACATAAATTTCAAGTGCAATCATATCAGATAAATAGGTTCTACTTACATTGCACAATCTCTTTGAATACATATTTTATTTAATTATTATGCAATGAATTTAATCTATTTAAAATTCAATCTATTACATTAGCTTTCCTATTTTTTCTACTTATATTCAATTACATTCTTTAACCTTTATTTTGAAAACATTAGAATACTACTGTTATATCTCATCATTGTATTCATCATTTGATTTGTTCGAGGAAATTATCTGATGGGACCCCATCATAACACAAAGATCTAATATAGTTTCATCCAATGGTATCCCAACTAGGGCACAGTGAACGAGGAGTAACAAGTAGAAGGGAGTATGAGGTGAGACCGGGATCAAACAAACTATTTTTTCAATGAGACAAACGGTTGCAGGATTTGCTAAATTCTAAATTTCTTCAGCAAGTAGAAGGCGAGATGCTCCAATAGCTGCATGGGCATCGGATGAGGCATTTGCATGTGGTTTTGAAAGTTTTCTTTTCTTGAAAATGAACTTTTTGAATTTCCAAAACCTATACTTCCATGGAACTATAGACATTTAGATTTCAAATCTGAAACTAAATGCACTACTCATTACAAATTTACTTGGTAAAAGTAACGCCAAGACATTTTAAATAGTGCAATACAAGCTGAGGCAAACAATGGATACATATCTTATTATACGCTCCATTGATAGATGGATGCAACTCCAATAAAAGTATCCATATATATAACAAGTTAGTGTTATATCTATGAGAGTGCAGGCTGACGCACATAATGAATATATATTTTATTATACACTAAAATGATAGATGGATGCAATTCCAAAAAAAAGATCCATAGATATAACAGGTTAGTGTTATATATATAACAGTGCATGCAATTCCTCGGCAACAACATAGTCATAAGAAACTACCTTATGGAAAGAATCATGTAGTCTATTATCACATGGGACAAAGAAATGATGACAAAGGCTGAAATCAAACATGGTTACATAAATCTGCAAAAGAAGTCTCAATCTATGACTCAAGGATCCATCACTAGATTAGTGTAACGCACACATCTAATCAATTGAGAGACTGTGCCACTCATCGTGAATCCTCGTAGGATGAACTTCCATGTGCTCACTTCCTCTCACTATAGTTCGTAGCATGTACTTACAAGAACAGCTTTTAGAACTTGATGACAATGTTGGTAGTAGGCATGCTCATGGCTCGGCTAACGGCTAGCTAGCTAATATTTTATGTTAGATGGTTCGCCATCGACTTACCGGCTAGCTGAAAAGCTATTCGAGGCCGAAAACATAGGGCTCTGATCGGGTTTGGGTAAAACTCGATAACCCGACTTCGGATCGGATCGAGTTTGGATAGAGGGTTGTACCTAATCCAAAACCAAAAAATTAAGCTGGGCGGACGGAGCCATTGAAATGAGATGATCTTTTGCAATTCGAAACCTCCGGGATAGACTTTCTTGTAAAAAATGGGCAGAGAGCTTAGAGGTTGCGTTCGGGTGATTCACCTAAGTGATGAGATCTTGAAAGCATACTCAACACTTTATCAAGTGTCGATAGCGGAGCGTTATGTAAATAGTCCAAGGTTGCTGATGAGAACAATTAGAGGTATTCAAAGTGATTATGCTGACATGAGTAAAGCAACAACCCATAAGAGCTCAGCTGCAAACCCAGCTGGTCCGTTGTCGTCTGCATCGGCTTCCACTCCGTTTAGCGAAACTCTGCTCTTCCTCTTGTGTCTGGCACACCTCCTCGTCTCGCTTGCTGCGCACCTTACTCGATGCGATGTATTCATCCGCTCTCTTGCTCGCTCAATTCTGCCTCTAGTTGGGCCGCACTGCGTTTCCTGTTCAGCTCGTCTTGTCTACTCAAAAATTTCTTGCATCGCTTCCTCATCAAGAACATACTCGTAACTTCAATTTCTCAATCCTCGACTCACCGTCCCCTCATGATCATGAATCTCCTGCCGGATCGATTTGGGTTTTACCCAAATTCACTTGAATCCGACCCGGTTTGTCGGGTCGGGTTTGGATTGAAGGTAAAATCCGACCCAAACGCGACCCAAAAACTCATGGAGCCTTATGAAAACAATCCGAAAACTCGTATTAGGCGGCTATGTAATATGTCTAGCTGTAAGTGGGGTCTCATCGGGTAAAACAAATTGGACCCATGGGTTGGTTAACTGGGGGCTTGCAGCAGGTACATTCCTAGGTAAGGGCTCGCAGTGCATGGCCCACATCGCTTGTCCATTACGACACTGCTGCGGCAATTTATTAATGAGCCACCAGGAATATTGACCTTTTTATAATTGACAGAAATATTTTTATGACTTATTAGTTGCCTTGATTTTTTTTGTTTGGACTATATTATGGAGTTTTGTCATACCGAAGTTCTATTTATAAATAAAACGAACTTCGGCCGACGAAGTCCTTCCCTACTTGAAAAAGAAGGGGGGAGGGCTGCCTGGACAACGCTGTGCGCTTTCTCGGGCCTTTCAAGAAAAAGCGGGCATACCTTAAAAATATGACAGCATCGAAAAATAACGTGGACCTGAGTTGACAAATTGACTCCCCGCTTTTGTGTTCCTTGCTCGGTCTTGGCCGGAATTGCTTCCTCAATCGTAGACGTTTTGACTTTGTATTAATATTTTTTTTGCCGGAAAAGTGAAAATGGATATTTTGCCCGCTTTCTTTACAGCTACTAGGAGAGCTTCGTAGGGTCACAATTCCTTTAATGGTTTTTCCATCATTCAATTCGCAACAAATCGAATGAAGAGAGAAGCCCTTGTTAAAAGAGATGCGAGCCGATAACGAGCTAGTAACCGACATTCGGGACTCGCAGAAAAACTTCCACCTGGCTTTAGCGAGAAGGATAGACTTTGCCCCGGATGAGGCGCGGGAAGCCACGGAGAACCTTGAGAGGATACTCGACAGGTGGTGCGATGAGTGTGAAGTCCGAACCCCTTTTGATAAAGATAGGGAGAAGGCTCGACGAGAACACGTGGGAAGATACGAGGCGCTACCTCTGTAAATTTTGGCCCCATTAAAGGAGATAAGGAAAAGGCTTAAATTGTGGGGCCGTAACTATTAGGTTTAAATCTAGCCTCCCATTGGGGTTTGAAAGCCATAAGGGCTCACGTTTGTTTAGCTCGGTCTCTCAATGTTGGAAAAAGGGCAATTACCATGTTATTAACTGATAGAAACTTTAATACAACCTTTTTTGATCCTGCTAGTGGCGGGGACTTGTCGTCAGACTTGGCCTTAGATCCAACGTTGGTTAGCTGATTTGACACATTAAAAATGGTCGTGAGATCGGATACCGTCCAGTGGGCAGAAGATCTAAGGTCGGGGTAGTATTAAGACTTTTAGCCATCGTGGAGATTTTTCCTTCAGCACCATTCGTCAAACTCAGACCTCCATAGTTAGTTGGATTTTTGGAAATATACTATTACGTTTTTTCTCAGTATAGGCGAGAGGCTTTGGACCTAAATGCTTAAACCCCTGTTTGGTCTTTTTGGTCGTAGGAACTTTTTCGGAAAAAATATATTATTTTTTTACGTTGGTGTTTTTTTTCATGTTTCGCCAGTGTTTTAGCTTCGCGCCTAAATACTTCGTTTGTTTTTTATGTGATTTTTTCGGCGAAAAATAATCTATTTTGCCACGATATTAATTATTTTTGGTTTCATGTTCAAAATGGAGAATATTCTCCATTGACTATAAAATACTTTTCTACTTCTGAGAAGACTCTTGGGAAGAAAAGCTATATAACCTGCAATTGCTATTCAAAATAATCAAAATTCAATCAGAATTCAAAATAAATCCTTTGACCAAATTTTGGTCACTTCGCCAAATCTTGGTTAGTTCAATCCAAATTAGTTTTCTTTTACATTTTATTTCTAATGGTTTTGGCAAAAGCATCTTTGGTTCACCAAACACTTCTACATCTTTTGGGGGGATCACCATGGGAACGAGTGTATCTGCACCCCATGAAAGTAGGCGTGTCAGACCAGACTGGTGCGGATAGCTTGACTGCGCTACCTGTTCAAGCAAAAAGAGATTAGGTGGAGAATTTGGTCACGTAGATCTTGTATTTTGCCTCAATTTGTTGGTTGCTATGCACAAATTTATAACGGAAAAGGTTTTGTTGGTTTAAAGATTGATGAAGAAATGGTTGGTCATAAATTTGGAGAGTTTGCTTCTACACGGAAAACCTCTTCCTTGGGTAAGAGAGCTTTGCCCTCGAAAACCAAGATCAAACCAATCAAAAAGGTACGATACTCGATATCGTCTACAAACTCAGCACCCTGGGATCCCAAGGTGGATGTGTCCGACTATGTGCGGATACCTCATGGATATCAATGAGATAATTATGTTTCAATGTGTAATCATCAAATAATTTCCTCTTTTTTAACAAGACGAAGTGCATTTTAATTCTCAAGTATATCTCAAATCTTAACATATAAAGAAAGAAACAAATTTATAAAAAATCATTACAATTTTCAAAATAATTGACAATTTTAATGCTTTTACATCACATACATAGTATTAAATTTAAGATTTGATTATCAAATTTAGTCTAATAATAGCTATTATTTTTAGCAATAAAAAATGATCATAATAATCATATATTTTTGAATAAATTCAAAAACCCAAATAAAATAATATTCAGAAATATTTCTAAATTAAACGAATTTTTTTTATTAAAATTTTCATCTCATATTTATAACAAGATTCATTAAATATATTTGATAAAATTTATAATGATACTTGATTGATTTATGTGCGAAAGTAAATCCACATATATTTGAATAATTATCAATCATAAAAACAAAGGATTATTTTTTGACTTCATTATTTAATATAAAAGTCTTCAAAATATATATTTTTTAAAATAATAACGGAATTTAAAATCTTCAAACCACAGTACATATTTTCAATTTTTAAAAAACATAAATTACACCGTTTTGGTCTTCGTTAGTTGTTATATCGACAAAAGATTTTTAAAAATAATATGTGAATTTGAATTTATTTTTCTCTATACATTCTCATATATTATTTATCACAGATAATAATCCTTTTTAATAGATACAAATTTACATTCTTGTTTCAATTTATTATTCACTTAATCTCAAAAATACCTGATTTTTTTAATTAATTTTAATTAATTAATTTTCTTTTTAATATTTTTTATTTAGATTTTGGAAAAATATCCAAAATCTTAGGAAAACCAAAAAAATAATATTTTATGCAGTAAAAATATATTATGCATGCTATTTCAAGACTTAGTTTTGATTCGAAAATTTTGTTTTTTTGCTTTTAACCAATTTAAAAATCATCAAAATTTACAACATCATCAGTCAAAAAATAATATTTCTATTTTGATTGGTATAAAATAATATTTTACATATTTATTCTTTTCATTTTTGTAAGAATTTTTTACTATTCATATTTTTGGATCTAACTTTAGGTCAAAACATTTTGTGAATAAAACGCACCACAGATGACATTCTTTGCCATACTGTATGAAAAAATGATATGTAAAGTGCATCATCACCTTTTGTTTTAGATTATTAATCAACAAGAACATTTATCACATAATATAATTTGATACATTGTATGTAATCTCAATAAAATAAAAATTTTATATTGATTGATATATAAACTAGATTATTACTTTTTATCATTTATTATTCAAAAATTTTTAGAACACTTGCTAGATTATTTGAAAAAAAGATATTTTGTTTTCAAACCTAGATTTTGTATCTTAAAGATTATTAAATTATAAAATATCACAAGATCGTCAAAAAAGAAAAAAACCTAATTTCATCAAAAGAAATTTTTATGTAAATAGCATAGAAATATTCACCATCTACTCTTGAAGATGGTACAAGTATTCACGGTTTATTCCAAAAAAATTTCTAAATATTTCTGTTTAGTAATAATTGATATATAATAACTAAATAAACTTCCGTAAGACAATATACTTCAAATACGATAGATCATTGTTTTAATTAAAAATAAAATCATATTTTTCATCTACTTCTATACATAATTTCAAATTAAAATTAACATTGAAAAACTATTTCTACATATTTATAGTGCTGGCCTTCAACCCGAATTCGAACCTAAAAGCCCGGTCGGGTTCGTGTCAATTCGAGTAGAATCTGGAAAACTTTTCACAAGACCAACAACATAAGGAAACGATTGTTTGTCAACTCAAAACACAGAATTGCACCGAACAGGGCTTATATCACGTTGACCGTAGCTATCATTTCCAGCATGGCAATACAATTGTCATGCTGGAACTGACATGCAGCGGACAAATCAATATGTGTCAATTTGGGTAGAATCCGAAAATATTTTCACAAGAACAACGACATAAAGCAGCGATTGTTTGTCATCTCAAAGCACAGAACAGGCTTATATCACGTTAACCCTGTCTATCAGTTCCAGCATGACAATTGTATTGTCATGCCGGAACAATACAATTGTCGTGCTGTTCCAGCGGACAAATCAATTGGGGACGTGAACAGAAGACACATCATAATTGGAAAAGAAAATTCGCGTCCAGGAATTACGTGATTTGGATATGTTCATGGCATGCATGCACCATATCTGCATGAATTTTTCAAGCTGCAGGCATGATCTGAAAGCATGGATTGTCATCATTGCGTCCAAAATGGAATTCGAGCCTCCAAGAAGTAGCGTTTTCACGATCGTTCTACATTAGAATCATTTCTATGCGGGACAGGATACGTAAGTCTTTTCTGCCCAATGACCCTCATCCAACATGGAATCGAAAATTAAAAGCCATATAGTGAATTTGCAAAGTCGTCGTTGCACGAGGATCCCACAATGTCAGCAATTGCACGGAGCACGGAATAGAGGATCGCCCTCTTTTCAAATGAAAGATCCGAACATGTAGTAACCACGCTCCTTGGAAACCTGTGCGGGCTTCCGGCTCCTCACAGTCGCATCCTCCTATCTATATACTCCATACATCTATTGCCCATTCCAACTTCCACCTCGATGGCCGTCCTCTGCTCTAGGTCATGTGCCATAACCGTCTTCGCCACAAACTTCTTGTTATTCTCCAGATTATTGCACAGAAAAATGGTGGAGAATGAGCCTAGGTTAATCGGCCCATTCCTCAGCCACCGCGTGTCCAGTTTAGGTGGTGCAGCCATTTTCGTCGAGTGTGCTTCACACCCGCAACCAAACACGAAATTCCGACTGGCTGCTTCACGAAATTAAACTTCAGTCCATCCTCCCAGGCTCCTCCAGTTGATTCGTCCGGTCGCAAGCTGGAGATTCAACTCTGCAGTTATGTGATTGGATCGATCTGCAATCACGAATAAGGGCGTCAAAGCATTAGGATCAAACACTGTATCTCAAATCACCGTGGTTAAGCACCTCTGCTGAAGCATTCATCTTCATCAGTGATTTCATATATCGTTTGTGCATTCACGCCATCTCTAAAACATTATGAGTCTCCAGCTGTACCTGTCAACAATCTTGACTCTAATCATCTCTTACGATACGATCCTTTCAAAAAGCAGAGCATGAACATCTCAAGAGCCCACTGCGACAGTCAATCGGATTTAGATTACAAAATTGCTGATGTGGCGAACCTGATTTGGACCCACGATGACCGAAGAAGCTCTACAATCTTCTAAAGGTCACGGGAACATGCTGACTTGCACGGTTCAATCTAAGGCCCTGCTCAGAGCCCTAATCTATTCCAAATTCCAATCAGTGCTAGTAGCAACGACGAAGAAAGCGAGGGGATTTTCGGGGAAGATTAGGAAACTGAAATACATGATACCATTACAGATGTGCTTTCGGAAATTTAGCATGTTCACGAACCAAACTTTACTCACCGCCTACCGGACGGTGAGTAAAGTGGCATATATGGACGAGGGCGCTGCCTACATCTGATTGATTTGCAGCTACTGGAAATTGAGACTGTCGGTTGCACCATTGGCAATAAATTATCTTGAATCCGAGTCATGATATCTCTCATCCTTGGCACAATTTCTCCGGTTTCCGAATGGCCTGATTCGAGTGCGGCGAGTGGATCCAAACTTTGAGAGGGTTTGCGCTCTGTGATTAGAGAATACTCTCAGGTGCTGGCTGACGTGCTCGTCATGACCATAGTAGTGATTCTTGTTGATTGAATGAACGCAGACTGTGATGGAAATCTGTGGGCTAATCAAGCTCAAGCTCATGATACCGTTTGCAAATTGTGAAATCTATGGAGTCAGCACGCGTAGTCAGCGAAAAGAGATAATGTCTTGAGCTGCCAAAGTGCTGAATGTCAAATGAGTTGACGAGAAAAAGGTCGGATTGCTTCTGCACACATGCTCTAATCTGCTCGACGAAGCATCCAATCCCCGGGAAAGGCACCGTAAACATACTTCTTCATGCAAAACCAGGCGTAAACCACAGAAAATTTTACATCAATTCGGACCTCATCAATCTTACGAGCAATCGCAAGTAGACGAATTTCTGATTCTAGTAGCCTGGCTGCGTTCCAGCCCCTTCAGCTTCCTGTAGCTTGTCGATGACGTCGGCTGTCACTCCGAAGGATTTAATCAAAACAGCATCAGCTATGCCGGTCCCGAACAGAGTGGTCGGAAGCCTGGCAACTCCCGGAGAGGCGCTGCTGAAGGAGTTGATAAATTTAGCCGTCGTCTGATAGTTGTTGAACTGGAAGTGAACCAAGCCCCTGGGGACAATGAAAAGATCTCCCTCCTTCAAGGTCTGGGTCCTCAGCGTGTTAGTGGTGTCTACGAAGCCGATGTCGACGGTGCCTTCGAGCACGAACACGAGCTCCGAAGCACGAGGATGGACGTGAGGAGGATTTACGGTCCCTGGTGGAGCAACCACGAGAGTGGAAGAGATACCGAGGCCATCGAGTGCTGCAAAATTAGAAAGGTCTGCTCTCATAGTCGTTACGAGGGGAGCATCAGACGGATTGGCTGTGAAGTTCCTGAAACCGGGGAAGGTGAAGAAATTTTCATCCAGAGCTGTGGCATTCTCTCCATCTGGGACTTTGAAGTCCGAAGTGAGCTCGGGATCCGATCCAAACACTTGCAGGCTCTGAAGGCAGAATGTTGCAAGCAGTAATGATGCTAGTACCTGGACTTTAGCCATCACTGATATGCTCTAAATTTGAACCTTTTGACAGCCAGAAGTACAGTATATGGAGTTCAGATAGTTTGTAGACCTGTGAGATCACCTGAAAAGAAGATTACACTGAGCTGTAGTAATGAACTGGGAGTAGATCGAATTGAAACTGATGTTATGTTTGATGAAGATATGCTTCCATCTCCAGCCTTCTTATAGTTGGTAGTCAAATTCCTGACTCACGGTGATCGCATGAGTAAGATGGCTTACGTACACCTGACACCTTTCATAAAGTCCTTGTCAATCTATCAAAGACTATGGCAACGATCTAAGTCAGAGAGAGGAGAACTTCTGCCCATTCCACACTTTTTACTGGGTCATTTGTTACACCGAATTAGTATATTCAGAGAAAAAGTCAATTGCCAAGTTGTTAGCCTTCAACAAGAATTAGCTGAAGAAGCACGGTACATGAATCATGCATAATTCTAGCTATGCTGAAGAATGTGTCGTTTGAGTACGTAATAATCTTATTTCCTCGGAGGCTGATCTGAGATAAACAAACACAAATGGGGCCACGACAGATGAATCCACTAATTAGCATCCAAAAGTAGAGTCTTCTCCCTCAGGTTTACGCGTGATATAACAACCAGTATAATCTGTGGTCGCACTTTTTTACTTAGCCCAGATCTTAGAAATTCAAACATACGTCAGAGACCGGTTGCTATCTGACTAATTTGGAAGTAGTTCATAAAGTGCACTTTGCTCTGAGATAAACTAAGACGTTCGGACATGGTCGAAAGAATCAAGCCAGCCGCATGAGTTCGTTGACCATCGGGGTTCTTATGCCCAGGTAGTATCCTGTGGATTGGGTTCATGCACATGAAGTCACTGCTGAATGACTACAACACCAATCCCATATACACATATGCAAGCAAAGTCTGATGCTAGTGTAGGTATTGACGGTGCGTCAGAGCAAAGCGTTGAAAGCTTCAATCTTCAATGGATTGTCCACTTTGTTCCCGGTTTCGGTGCTATCAAGTGGACCATTTCTAGGATTTGAAGAAGTTGAGAGGCTTCACCAGATGTGCCCAGATTTGAAGCAGATCGCAAGTTTCTCTGCAGACTGTGCGTATCTATCAACTGCTGAGGAACTAGGAGCTAGTGGATTTCTATAAAACGTCTAGTGGGTACTCATAAAACTCACCGAGCCTCGAGCATACAAATCAGTCTGCTTCAACCGGTTCATTCTTAGCATCGATACTGACTGATATCCTTAAACACCTTATACATCAATTGCAATTCAGCTTCATATATCTCATTCAATTTCTGCCCAGCTACGTTATTGAGATCGGTGTGTGCTCGCGATGGCTCATCACAAGATGCTCCTCTGCGCTTTGTTCGCTGTTTTTCTGGCCTTTGGATCCCTGAGCTCAACAGTTCAAGCTTCCGATCCCGAGCTCACTTCGGATTTCTTCGTTCCGGAAGGCAAGGTAGCTGCCGATCTAGATGGGGCCTTCTTCACCAACACGACCTTGGAGAATGTTCAACCGAATTTAAATTCAGCTTTTGCTACGGTCACACCCGTCAATCAAAACGTATTTCCAGCTCTCACAGGATTGGGAATTTCTTCAGCGCTTATCCAATTTCCGCCCGGCACCGTCAATCCTCCTCACACTCATCCTCGAGGAACCGAACTTCTATACGTCATCGAGGGAATTCTGAGCGTGGGGCTCGTGGACACCACTCAGAAGCTCTTCACCCAAACTCTGTTGCCTGGTGACCTGTTCGTGTTCCCGAAGGGCTTGGTGCACTTCCAGATCAATTTGGATCAGTGGAAGTCTGTCAAAGCTGTGGTGGGATTCAGTAGTTCCAACCCGGGACTCATCAGCCTGCCCTCTACTCTCTTTGGAAAGAGCATGATCTCCAGCGAGGTCCTCCAGAAATCCTTCAACGTGACTGCCGACGTCATTGACAAGCTCAAGGCTGCTCAGGTTTGATTTACTCTGCGGGGTTTTACCGTAGAAAGGGGTCCATCGATTCAAACGACGATCTACCGATACGTCAGCTTGCAATCTCGGACATGGTGTGCATGGCTATGGCACTGAGTACTTGATGGAGCTCCAGAAGTCTGGATAAGTATGGTGCTCTAGCATCACCAATAAGACGATTCTTGTATGTAGTAAATTTCTGAGAGCGGAGACCAAAGTTGGCAGAAATGATCATAGTAATCATAGTGGGCCAATTTGTTCAGTGATGACATAATTTGATTTCTAAGATCATTTAGGGACCTTGCGACGCAAGATAGTAGGTTTATGTTCTTTCTCTTAATTTATTTAACATGAACTCATCGAAGTCTTATATCTCTCGAGTACCGTTATGGTTTGGCGGATGTTAGCCTTCAAATTGATGAACAAAGTTTATTGCTGTGTTTCAGATATTTCTGCTTCCATAGCCATAGATTGCTATTACAATCTTATTCTCATCTCGGGACAGTCTATCTGCCCCAGAATCAGCAATCTTTGAATTAGTCAGTAGATTCTCGCATTTTTTGCTGCTTCAGGTCCTAACGAGTGAAAAAATTGAATCTGTAATATAGTTTACTCAGGGCACAATTATGCAGTCGTCAAGATTGATCGTTCTGCCTTTTACTTAAGTCCGGAATGAAATAGTAGAAGTTCACGAGTGCCCAAAGAATTAAAGTGCCAATGAAAGAAGAAGGAGCCCTGATAAGATGCAGCTTGTCGACGAGACATATTCTCCACCGACGGTCTCACGAAAGCATCACCAAAGAGCACCTGTCCATTCCTACTCGAATTCCATTCGGCAACCCAGGTACCCCCATGAACATCCTTCGGTGATTCACAAAATCACAGCTCGCTATTTTCTCCAGGCTCATTCCAGAGGCTCAATCCTTACGATGAATAATACATCGTAAGGTTTGAGTCCATAACATGCGTTAGGTACTGCCGTGGCCGTTCTGTACAGCTTGAATAGCCCTTCGCCAGCAGCCATCAATTGAGGAACTCAATAAATTACAAGTCTTTCGACCAAATATGCAGTTTAAGAATTAAAAATATTCTCACATCCGGCAATCCGATGTCTACGATGGCTGTCGCTCTACAACTTGTAGCAACCAACAGTGTTTCCCATCTTGTTTCTGGAATATAGTATTTTGTAATGAGACTAACTTGTCAACACTCAGAGAGCTTAATTCAGTTCCCATTCGGCAACCCGCGACGAGTACAAAACCCATCGATAATCGGTGTAGTACAGGGCCCAGTACGTGCCGCATAGGCGGACCTGACATGGTCGGTGTGTGATTGGTCACCTTATGTATACTGCGAGCCCTTGTTCTTCGTATTTTGTTATTAGAACATTCCTTTGATCTTTCATCTTTCATGTATTGCTTAAGCAATTTTGAAATGTCAGTGCGGTCCAAGTGATGTCTCTCATGTTTGCCCCGGTTTGGTACATGTGCATGATGGGACTTTATTCAAAGATTCGGATTGATTACTCTACTCTACTAATGTTCGGGTCGAGCACTACGTGCCTATCGGGTCTCGCGCCCCCCGGACCTGCCGGGAGAAGGCGCGCAACTATCTCGACTTTCAGGAGACCCCGCGTCCTGCATACAGTGCGCGGGACGTAGTGAGAGGCGCATAGAAACCACTAATCAAACACCAAATAATTGGGAAAATCCAAGTAAGATTGCGTTATGTTCAAACATTTTTCTCATAAATCTTCCTTTAGGTTACATATGTTCTCAATTACCAGAGCAAAGGTGAAGTTTTTCTGGTTAGAGATTTCAATGCTCGAATCAGTTGTGCACAATTTACCCAAGTTGGTGATCTTTTGACTTCTCACTCCTTTGAAAAATTTGAAGATCTATGTGGTCTAGAAACTCTTCTGATACTTTTACAGTACTTGACATAATAGTTTCTAACCTTTAGAGCCACATGTAATTTGAAAGTTCTCAACGATATCTCTATATTTTCCAACTCTTTTTCCAATATGTGTTTTTCTCTTACATGTTCTAACACTATTGATTATCTTCTATCCTCAACCATCAATAGCTCTCTTATTTCCAAATTTGATATTCTAGAACCTTAGCCATAATCAAATCCTGCAACTCTCTTACTTACTCTCTTGTTATCAAAAACAATCCCTCTCTTTCCATGTCATTCTGTTTTAGCTTCTCCTAAGTTCCATTTAGATCCTAGTAAGAAAGAGCAGTACATGCTACATTTTAAAAACCTTTTGACACACATTTCATGGAGCCTTGATCCACATACAACGAGTGGGCAACTAACAGAGTTGCTCAAAGACATTGCTTCTAAGTAATCCTTGACAAAAGAGTTGATGGAGAATCCCAAACCTTTTGGAAACAGTTAGCTGTACGGTCTTTTAAACCTACTCTCGATCCCAAGAGTTTGATTGACTTTGCTGAAAAGCTTTATTTCTTTTCCGACGCTGCATCAATGCCTTGTTGTGAAGAAACATCTGGCTTATTTTCTAAATAAGAGGTGATGATCCAAGTCAAAAAATTAGCAAATGGTAAATCGGAGGATTTGGATGGTCTCTCTATTTCTACGAATGACAGTTGAGTGAGAATTCAAACTCGTCAATAGATTGTTAAATTGTAACACTGGATCTTTTCTCAATTCAATTTCTCAGTTCGGAGTTCTGTATTCTCTGCGCATTTTGTGAGTTGAGTGTGTTGTTCACCGCGTGAAATAGACTTTGGTTTGACGAAGGTACCGCATCCGAAGTAGGACTTCCAACCCAAATGCTTTGCACTAGCGATGGCTAGTGACAGGGTTGAAGCAAGTTTGGAGCAGGTAGCTACCTGCAGATCCTCTTAGTGTGTCTTGGGAAACTTCCTCCCCGAATCTTAAGTGGAGGTCCTGATCGACCTTTGAGTTGTGCATTTGCAGTTTCAAGTGTGTTTGGGGAGTACTACGTTGTATTGTGTGTACTCCGAGTGAACTCTGAATTGAGCACTTGCAGTATTTCTGGGAGTGACAGTAGTCTGAGAATTCAAACTCCTCAATAGATTGTTAAAACGTGACACTTTGTACTCTGTGTGTTGTTCTTGTCCCTGTGGATTCGATCCTTTGCTGTTATACTGCAATTTAGCCTTGGGTGGGCTATCACAGTAGCACTCAAACTCACACGCACATCGACACTTCAAGGTACTAAAAATCGTCACTCTCTCATGTACGAAACAAGTCATTACACATGAACTCTCCAAACTTGTTTAAGAGCTGCTCCTCTACCTTTCTATTTATACTAGTTGAGAATTTATCATAATAACATGTGATAATTTTCCCTAACTCACTTTTACCCATGTAAGTTTGACTAACCCACAATATGTGGCAACATGCGATTGGCCTACCTAAACCTTCTAGAAGTCTTAAGAATCCAAGACAACATGCCATTAGAAGCTTTAAAACTTATACAAGCTTCATAAACATTAAGTCAACATTAGACTTAGTTTAACCAATCATTTTTCATACATTTAGTCAAACCAATCAAATCCAAGCTTATAGTCAAATATCTAATCCCTTGGAATCTAGACCTTTGGAAAAGACAAAATAGAAGTGCTCACTACACTTTTCTAGAACTCCGCTAATTCTTCTGCCAACTAGACATTATAGCTAAACTTAGTCATGACTAGATAAACTTAGTTATAACTAACAAGTTTAGTCATAACTAGCTAGACTTAGATATGTCTTGGCTAATCATCATTAATCACTTGGCTATTTCTACAACTTAGTACACATGTGCAACATCCGGTCTCATAGCACTGCGCTTCCTGTTCAACTCGTCTCTCTCCTCAAACAATTCTTGCATCACCTCCTCATCAAGAAAATACTCGCAACTTCAATTTTCCAATCCTTGACGCACCATACCCTCATGATCATGAATAACCTATGGGATCGATTCGATTTCTACCAAATTCACTCGAATCCGACTTGGTTTGTCGGGTCGGGTTTGGGTTGAAGGTCAAATCCAACCCGAACCCGACCCAATTGGAGCCCTATGAAAACAATATGAAAACTCAAATAGCCTCTGAGTTTTCAAGTGATTCATCCAAAATTACACCCAAATCCTTATTTTGAACAAATATTTCAGCACTAATGTGTTTTTTGACTATAGACGTGGACTAATAGACTAATTGGCTAGCTAATCGGCTAACCGGCTAAATTTGATATCCTAGTGCAGAAGATTAGGCGGCTACATGATCATGTCTAGTTGTAAGTGGGCTCTCATCGGGTAAAACAATACATCATGGATATCAATGAGTTATTTATGTTTCAATGTGTAACCATCAAGTAATTTACTCTTTTTTATCAAGACGAAGTGCATTTTAACTCTTAAATATATCTCAAAATCTTAACATTTAAAAAAATAAAAAAATAATTACAATTTTCACAATAATTGACGATTTTAATGCTTTTACATCACACACATAGTATTAAATTTAAGGTTTGATGATCAAATTTAGTCTAATAATAGATATTACTTTTAGCAATCATACAAAAAAATTATCATAATGATCATATTTTTTTGATTAATTGAAAAAACCCAAATAAAATTATATTCAAAAAAATTTATAAAAAAAATTTATAATTAAAATTTTCATCTCATATTTAAAACAAGATTCATGTAATATATTTGATAAAATTTATAATGATACTTGATTGATTTATGTGCGAAAGTAAATCCACATAAATTTGAATAATAATCAATAAAAATATAGGATTATTTTTTGACTTCATAATTTAATCAAAGAATGAAGTCTTCAAATCTACAAAATATACATTTTTTAAAATAATAATGAAATTAAACATCTACTTGCCACAATATATATTTTCAATTTTTAAAATACATAAATTTCACCATTATGGTCTTGGTTAGTTGTTAGATCGACAAATTATTTTAAAATGAATATGTGAATTTGAATGTATCTTACTCTACACATTCTCATATATTATTTATCACAGATAATAATGCTTTTTAATAGATACAAATTTACAGTCTTGTGTTAATTTATTATTCACTTCATCTTAAAATTGCCTGATTTTTCTTTTTAATTGAAATATTTTTAATTTAGATTTTGAAAAGATTATCCAAAAACATAGTAGAACCAAAAAATAATAATTTTATGCAGTAAAAATATATTATGCATGCTATTTCAAGACTTAGATTTGGCCCAAAAATCTTGATTTTTTGCTTTTTACCAACTTAAAAATCATCAAAATTTACATCATCATCAGTCAAAAAATAATATTTAACATCTTTATTGTTTTCATTTTGTGAGAATTTCTTACTATTCGTATTTTTGGATCTAACTTTAGGTCAAAACATTTTGTGAATATAACGCAGCACAAATGACATTCTTCGCCGTACTGTATGAAAAAATGATATGTAAAGTGCATCATCATCTTTTGTTTTAGATCATTAGTCAACAAGAACATTTATCACATAAATATGATACATTTATGTCTTTTACAATGGAATAAAATTTTTATATTGATTGAAATATAAACTAGATTATTACTTTTTATCATTTATTTTTCAAATTTTTTTAAAACACTTCCTAGATTATTATAAAAATGATATTTTGTTTTCAAACCTAGATTTTGTATCTTAAAGCTTATTAAATTAAAAAAAATCACAAGATCGTCAAAGAATATAAAAAACATAATTTCATCAAAAGGAAATTTTATATAAATAGCATAGAAGTATTCACCACTTACTCTTGAAGATGGTACAAATATTCACGGTTTATTTCAAAACTTCTCTAAATACTTCTGTATAGTAATAACTGATATATAATAACTAAAGAAACTTCTGTAATACAATGGACTTCATATTTTGCATCTACTTCTATATAATTTCAAATTAAAGCTAACATTGAAAAAAAAAATTCTACATATTCGTGGGGTTGACCTTCAACCGGAACTGGACCCTAAAAATCGTGTCGGGTTCGTGTCAATTCGGGTAGAATCTAGAAAACTTTTCACAAGACCAACAACATAAGGAAACAATTGTTTGTCAACTCAAAGCACAGAATTGCACCGAACAGGGTTATGTCACATTGACCGTAGCTATCATTTCCAGCATGACAATTGTATTGTCATGCTGAAACTGACTTGCAGTGGACAAATCAGTATGTGTCGATTTGGGTAGAATCCCAAAAAGCTTTTCACAAGACCAAACACATAAGGAAGCTATTGTTTGTCATCTCAAAGCACAGAACAGGCTTATATCACATTAACCGTGTCTATCATTTCCAGCATGACAATTGTATTGTCATGCTGGAATTGTTGTTATTGATGCACGAGTATTCCACACTGTCAGCAATTGCACGGAGCACAGAATTGCACGGAATAGAGTATCGCCCTCTATTAAATTGAAAGGTCCGAACATGTAGTAACCACGCTCCTTGGAAACCTGTGCGGGCTTCCGGCTCCTCACAGTCGCATACTCCTATCTATATATCCATACATCTATTGCCAATTCCAACTCTCCACCTCGATGGCCGTCCTCTGCTCTAGGTCATGTGCCATAACCGTCTTCGCCACAAACTTCTTATTATTCTCCAGATTCGTGCACAGAAAAATGGTGGAGAATGAGCCTAGGTTAATCGGCCCATTCCTCACCCACCGCGTGTCCCGTTTAGGTGGTGCAGCCATTTTCGTCGAGTGTGCTTCACACCCGCAACCAAACACGACATTCCGACTGGCTGCTTCACGAGATTAAACTTCAGTCCATACTCCCAGGCTCCTCCAGTTGATTCGTCCAGTCGCAAGCTGGAGATTAAACTCTGCAATTATGTGATTGGATCGATCTGCAATCACGAATAAGGGCGTCAAAGCGTTAGGATCAAACATTGTATCTCAAATCACCGTGGTTAAGCACCTATGTTGAAGCATTCATCTTTATCATTGATATCATATATCGTTTGTGCATTCACGCCATCTTTAAAACGGTTTGAGTCTCCAGCTGTACCTGTCAACACTCTTGACTCTAATCATCTAGTACGAGACGATTCTTTCACAAAAAAACAGATCATGAACATCTCAAGAGCCCACTGTGACAGTCAATCGGATTTAGATTACAAGATTGCTGATGTGGCGAACCTGATTTGGACCCACGATGACCGAAGAAGCTCTACAATCTTCTAAAGGTCACGGGAACATGCTGAATGGCACGGTTCAATCAAAAGCCCTGCTCAGAGCCCTAATGTATTGCCAATTCCAACCAGTGCTAGTAACAATGAGGAAGAAATCGAGGGGACATTCAGGGAAGATTAGGAAACTGAAATATATGATACCATTACAAACGTGCTTTCGGAAATTTAGCATGTTCACGAACCAAATGGCTTAGATACTTCGAGAAAGCGCTGGCGTAGAATCAAAGGACATACACTGAAACGGTTTGAACATTATAAGATTGTGCGCCGACACTTCAGAGGCGAAACGACGCGATGTCTGCCTTTATAGCATATCCTGGGAAAAATGAAAACTCACACTCCCTTCCACTTGATTTTCTTGTAACTTGGTTCCTTGGTCGATCAATCGATCGGTCTGTATCCATGAAACTTTACTCGCCGTCCGCTTAGGATCGACCGGACGGTGAGTAAAGTGGCATACATGGACGAGGGCGCTGCCTACATCTGATTTATATGCAGCTACTGAAGATTGCGACTGTCGGTTGCACGATTGGCAATAAATTATCCGAGTCATGATATCTCTCATCCTTGGCACAATTTCTCCGGTTTCTGAATGGCCTGATTCAAGTGCGGCGAGTGATCCGAACTTTGAGAGGGTTTGCGCTCTGTGATTGGAGAATAATCTCAGGTGCTGGCTGACGTGCTCGTCATGACCGCAGTGATGTATTCTTCATTCATTCATTGAATGAATGCAGACTGTGATGGAAATCTGTTGCTAATCAAGCTCAAGCTCATGATACCGTTTGCAAATTGTGAAATCTATGAACTCAGCACTCGTACTCAACGAAGAAAAATAATGTTTTGAGCTGCCAAAGTGCTGAATGTCAAATGAAGTTGACGAGAAAAAGGTCGGATTGCTTCTGCACGCATGCTCTAATCTACTCGACAAAGCATCCAATCCCCGGTAAAGGCACCGTGAACATACTTCTTCATGCAAAAGCAGGCGTAAACCACAGAAAATTTCACATCAATTCGGATTTTGAGATTCGTGCACGAATGTGCCCACAATCTTTTTATTATTTTCATCAAATGAGATGCAGGTGCACTAAGACCAGTGGTACCGATGCTCCTGGCATGTAACAACTTCACCTACAGACACAATAGGAAAAGCTAATTAGCTTATTTAACCTCATCAATCTTACAAGCAATCGCAAGTAGACGAATTTCTGATTCTAGTAGCCTGGCTGCGTTCCAGCCCCTTCAGCTTCCTGTAGCTTGTCGATTACGTCGGCATTCACTCCGAAGGATTTAACCAAAACAGCATCAGCTATGCCGGTCCCGAACAGAGTGGTCGGGAGCCTGGCAACTCCCGGAGAGGCGCTGCTGAAGGAGTTGATAAATTTAGCCGTTGTCTGATAGTTGTTGAACTGGAAGTGAACCAAGCCCCTGGGGACAATGAAAAGATCTCCTTCCTTCAAGGTCTGGGTCCTCAGCGTGTTAGTGGTGTCTACGAAGCCGATGTCGACGGTGCCTTCGAGCACGAACACGAGCTCCGAAGCACGAGGATGGACGTGAGGAGGATTTACGGTCCCTGGTGGAGCAACCACGAGAGTGGAAGAGATACCGAGACCATCGAGTGCTGCAAAATTAGAGAGGTCTGCTCTCATAGTCGTTACGAGGGGAGCATCAGACGGATTGGCTGTGAAGTTCCTGAAACCGGGGAAGGTGAAGAAATTTCCATCCAGAGCTGTGGCATTCTCTCCATCTGGGACTTTGAAGTCCGAAGTGAGCTCGGGATCCGATCCAAACACTTGCAGGCTCTGAAGGCAGAATGTTGCAAGCAGTAATGATGCCAGTACCTGGACTTTAGCCATCACTGAAGTGCTCTAAATTTGAACCTTTTGAAACAGCCAGAAGTACAGTATATGGAGTTCAGATAGTTTGTAGACCTGTGAGCTCACCTGAAAAGAAGATTACACTGAGCTGTAGTAATGAACTGGGAGTAGCTCGAATTGAAACTGATGTTATGTTTGGTGAAGATATGCTTCCATCTCCAGCCTTCTTATAGTTGGTAGTCAAATTCTTGACTCACAGTGATCGCATGACTAATATGGTTTACGTACACCTGACACCTTTCATAAAGTCCTTGTCAATCTATCAAAGACTATGGCAACGATCTAAGTCTGAGAGAGAGAACTTCTGCCCATTCAACACTTTTTACTGGGTCATTTTTTACACCGAATTAGTATTTTCAAACAAAAAGTCAATTGCCAAGTTGTGATCCTTCAACAAGAATTAGCTGAAGAAGCACGGTACAGGAAATTATGACTTATTCTAGCTGAGCTGAAGAATGTGTCGTTTGAGTACGTAATAATCTTATTACCTCGGAGGCTGATCTGAGATACACATACACAAATGGGGCCACGACAGATGAATCCACTAATTAGCATCCACAAGTAGAGTCCCGAGAAACCAGTCTTCTCCCTCAGGTTTACGCGTGATAGAACAACCAGTATAATCTGTGATCGCACTTTTTTTACTTAGCCTAGATCTTAGAAACTCAAACATACTTCAGAGACCCGTTGCTATCTGACGACTTGGAAGTATTTCATAGAGTGCACCTTGCTCTCAGATAAACTTAGACGTTCAGACATGGTCGAAAGAGTCAGCCAGCCGCATGAGTTCGTTGACCATCGGGATTTTTATGCCCAAGTAGTATCCTGTGGATTGGATTCATGCACATGACCCCACTGCTGAATGATTACTATACCAATCCCATATACACACATGCAAGCAAAGTCTGATGCAAGTGTAGGTATTGACGGTGCGTCAGGGCAAAGCGTTGAAAGCTTCACTCGTTAATGGATTGTCCACGCTGTTCCCGGTCTCGGTGCTATCAAGTGGACCATTTCTAGGATTTGAAGAAGTAGAGAGGCTTCACCAGATGTGCCCAGATTTGAAACAGATCGCAAGTTTCTCTGCAGACTATGCGTATCTATCAACTGCTGAGGAACAAGGAGCTAGTGGATTTCTATAAAAGGTCTAGTGGGTACCGATACAACTCACCGAGCCTCGAGCATAGAAATCAGTCTGCTTCAACCGGTTCATTCTTAGCATCGATACTGACTGAAATCCTTAAACACCTTTTACATCAATTGCAATTCAGCTTCATATATCTCATTCAAGTTCTGCCCAGCTTGGGTATTGAGATCGGAGTGTGCTCGCTATGGCTCATCACAAGATGCTCCTCTGCGCTTTGTTCGCTGTTTTTCTCGCCTTTGGATCCCTGAGCTCAACAGTTGAAGCTTCCGATCCCGAGCTCACTTCGGATTTCTTCGTTCCGGAAGGCAAGGTAGCTGCCGATCTTGATGGAGCCTTCTTCACCAACACGACCTTGGAGAATGTTCAACCGAATTTAAATTCAGCTTTTGCTACGGTCACACCCGTCAATCAAAACGTATTTCCAGCTCTCACAGGATTGGGAATTTCTTCAGCGCTTATCCAATTTCCGCCCGGCACCGTCAATCCTCCTCACACTCATCCTCGAGGAACCGAACTTATATACGTCATCGAGGGAACTCTGAGCGTGGGGCTCGTGGACACCACTCAGAAGCTCTTCACCCAAACTCTGTTGCCTGGTGACCTGTTCGTGTTCCCGAAGGGTTTGGTGCACTTCCAGATCAATTTGGATCAGTGGACGTCTGTCAAAGCTGTGGTGGGATTCAGTAGTTCCAACCCGGGACTCATCAGCCTGCCCTCTACTCTCTTTGGAAAAAGCATGATCTCCAGCGAGGTCCTCCAGAAATCCTTCAACGTGACTGCCGACGTCATTAACAAGCTCAAGGCTGCTCAGGTTTGATTTACTCTGCGGGATTTTACCGCAGAAAGGGGTCCATCGATTCAAACGAAGATCTACCGATACGTCAGCTTGCAATCTCGGACATGGTGTGCATGGCTATGGCACTGAGAACTTGATGGAGCTCCAGAAGTCTGGATAAGTATGGTGCTCTAGCTTCACCAATAAGACGATTCTTGAATGTAGTAAATTTCTGAAAGCGGAGCCCAAATGAAATGATCATAGTAATCATAGTGGGCCAAATTGTTCAGTGATGACATAATTTGATTTCTGAAATCATTTAGGGACCTTGCGACGCAAGATCGTAGGTTTCTGTTCTTTCTCATAATTTATTTAACATGAACTCATCGAAGTCTTATATCTCTCGAGCACCGTTATGGTTTGGCGAATGTTAGCCTTCAAATTGATGAACAAAGTTTATTGCTGTCTTTCAGCTATATCTGCTTCCATAGTCATAGACTGCTATTACAATCTTATTCTCATCTCGAGACAGTCAATCTGCCCCATAATCATGCAATCTGTGAATGAATCAGTAGATTCTCGCATTTTTTGCTGCTTCAGGTCCTAACGAGTGAAACAATTGAATCTCTAAAATAGTTTACTCAGGGCACAATTAAGCACTCGTCAAGATTTGACTGTTCTGCCTATTACTTAAGTCCGGAATGATACAATAGAAATTTACGAGTGCCCAAAGAATCAAAGTGCAAATGAACGAAGAAGGAGCCCTGATAAGATGCAGCTTGTCGACGAGACATATTCTCCACCGACGGTCTCACGAAAGCATCACCAAAGAGCACCTGTCCATTCTACTCGAATTCCATTCGGCAATCCATGTTCCCCCATGAACATCCTTCGGTGATTCACAAAATCACAGCTCGCTATTTTCTCCAGGCTCAATCCAGAGGCTCAATCCTTACGATGAATAATACATCGTAAGGTTTGAGTCCATAACATGCGTTAGGTACTGCCGTGGCCGTTCTGTACAGCTTGAATAGCCCTTCGCCAGCAGCCATCAATTGAGGAACTCAATAAACTACAAGTCTTTCGACCAAATAGGCAGTTTAAGAATTAAAAATATTCTCACATCCGGCAATCCGATGTCTACGATGGCTTTCGCTCTACAACTTGTAGCAACCAACAGTGTTTCCCATCTTGTTTCTGGAATATAGTATTTTGTAATGAGACTAACTTGTCAACACTCAGAGAGCTGAATTCAGTTCCCATCCGGCAACCCGCGACGAGTACAAAACCCATCGATAACCGGTGCAGTACAGGGCCCAGTACGTGCCGCGTAGGCGGACCTGACATGGTCGGTGTGTGATCGGTCACCTTATGTATACTGCGAGCCCTTGTTCTTAGTATTTTGTTATTGGAACATTCCTCTGATCTTTCATCTTTCATGTTATGCTTAAGCTACTTTGAAATGCCAGTCCGGTCCAAGTGATTTCTCTCATGTTTGCCCCCGTTTGGTACATGTGCATGATAGGACTTTATTGAAAGATTCCGATTGTTTACTCTACTCTACAAATGTTGGTTATGTTCAAACACTTTTCTCATAAATCTTCCTTTAGGTTACATATGGGCTTATCCATGGAATTAAATGAGATGTTTGATATCAGATTCACAACAACCATAGCTCTCTTCATTTCATTAGATGTGTACCTATTTGACTACATAAGAATGATCTAAATATAGACAGCACCCAACTTTATTATATATACAGTCTAACT